GGGGGCGGGCGGGGAGAAGCCAACTTGGTGAAGTAGTAACCGTTAGGTCGCGTCCTCCGTTACGCCACAGTACAATACCATACCCGCAAGGCACTGAACGGCAGCACAGCATGGCGCTCGGATCGTCGAGTCGCAGAGCAGCGTGCTACCTACCTACCGCGTACCTTGTAGGTGCCGGTACCAGCCAGGTCGCCACCTGACCTCTGGCCTCTGGCCTTTGGATCTTTGACCTCGTCCTGTGTGTCCAGAGGCGCAGGTCCGTCCGTAGTACGTACGCTGTCCGCCGATGCAGCAACGGAGACGGACTCCCGATGCAGTGGGCTGCGAGGCGTGGGAGGACTGAGATCCATACCAAAGGAACGGGAGGATCCAAGCTCAAGCTCAGGCTCAGGGGGAGGGAAGCCAGACAGGATCTAGGGAAGAGGGTAGCTACAGCAGCTACTGCATCCTACCCAAGAAGAAGTGTGTGGGGGGCGCCAGTCATGGGGGCTAGACAGCAGCTTGCACGGCATGTTTCTTAACTTTTTGACTGAAATGTCTTGTCTTACTGTCTTTGTACGAGGGTGAGGTGGTAGACGGGACGGGAAGCCTACCGTACGCATAGCTGGATGGCTGGCTTGTCCCGAGGCCGTCCGTCCCGTTTCTCAACGTCGCCGTTCCATCTCGTGTATCTCCACCTCACCAGCTCTACTCCGTATCTACCTCCCTCCCTACTATGTATACATAGTAGGCAGAGGCAGAGGTATGCCTGTGGGAGACGCTAGAGGACCCGGCGAAAGGGATGAGCAGCGGCGGTCAATGATGCGATGGACGAGCTAGACGGATCGGCATGTTTAGTCTACCACCTATCCGGTCTATGAGGGTACATGGTAAGTACGGGAGGTGATTGACAGCCGACGATGATTCAGTTAGCTCAACCTCACATATGGCCAGACGCACTTCATTACACCCTCCTTTCACATGTCCGATGCATGCATGCTACAGTACCTATGCACCACTAAGGCAACTATGCTATGCTCGTGCCTGCACTGTGCTTGTGCAGTGCAGTGCAGTGCATCAACACAATACAACCGCCGATGGTCGGCATGGTACCAAGGGAAGTGAGGTGTGAAGTGTGACGAGCCAAGATGTTGTTCTGCACTCGCAAAGTGATGCCTGCCATCCTCATCATCTTCAGAATGTCAAGAAGTTTGGTTCTGACAGCCCCTTCTCCATTCTTTTTTTATCATTTAATATTTTCTTACAGTGGGGATCGCGCAACAGCGGTCAGTCTCCCCTTTTGACGTCTCATCTCTCGTCATCCATTCGCCGGCTTTTGAGTCTCCTCCGCCGTTGCGACGGAGACCCTCCCGGGTAAGGCGTCCGGGCAGGGGCACTGAGGTAAGGCAGACCTGGCAGACCTAGCGGAAACATCCTGCGGACTGCGTTTCCCTGGCCCAGGGTCGAGCTCCCTTTGGATGGCACGGCGCAGCATGGGCATGGACGGCATCCCAGGCCGGGCACAGCAAAGCTGCGCATCGTATTGCCAAACCATCTTCAGTGTTTCTGCAAGGTGGGCATTGGATAGAGCTGTCATGGCTTGGCTGTCAAGAGACAACGAACGGGCAGCCACATGGGTAAGGAGACCCAACGGCCGTCGGCCACGCCGTGGGGAGTCCAAAGACAGCTGCAGGCGATAACTGAGAATCACACCCTCATCCGCTCCTGTCATGGCGACGTGAGCCTCCATTGGCCGGGAAGCTAGGCCGAAATAGCATCATTTGATATGAAACCTCCTAAACTACCCAGAGTCTCCATCGAAGCCTACGCATTTCCTAAGGTCTCCAACGGCCTCTACCCTTCCAAGAGCTGGGGCGCGGTTGACCTGCTGGGGATCAGCAAGGAATATTACATACTTCAATAAGCGGTAGACAGTTGTCGACGGGGGTGCAGAGAAATGAGATCAATACTTGTAATATGGCGCTGCTCCTGAATGCTTTCGCTTTTATAACACGATCTGTTTAGGATAGTACAGCATAAAGAAGATTCATAAAAATAAAAAAAAGGAAAAATCCATTCGACATTCATACGTGTCTCTCTAATATTCAACACCCGGTCGAACCAATCAACCCAATGACCCAACAAGGTGCTGTATAGTATAGTGTAACAAATCATGGTCGCGCGCTCATCTTCATGAACCCATCATCTTTCCTGCCCCACTCTCCTCCGGGGAGGAGAGGCCTACACCTCCTCATCACTGTCATCTCCAAGCAGCTCTCCCTCGTCGTCGTCCACAACAGCATAGTCGCCCCGGCCCCGCGCGAAGCTGTCCCGTGTTGTAAAAGGCCGATGGCCACCGCCCAGCCGCGTCCAACCACCTCTGCCGCTGACCGTCCTCCACAAGCCCCCAACAACGAGTGGGATCGCTCCGACGACCGCCACGACCGCCGAGACCGCGATGATCGGGTACTTGACCCAGGGTGCGTCGCTGTCCAGCATACCCCCGCCGCCGTAGCCGCTCTCGCCCAGGCGGATCTGGCCAAACTTGCCGTTCCAGTTGCGCCAGATGTACCAGCCGACAAAGCCGGCAATGGCGAAGGGAATGGTGACGGCAAAGAAGATGCCGACCCCTGAGATGCCATGTGCCTTCTCAAACTCCCTCTCCTTGCCAGGACACGGGTGGACAGGGGACTCCTTGTCGTACTGTGTTCCGCCGACGCAGGTTGTAAGTGGGATGCGTCGGAATCCCGTGGGTTCGTAGTATTCCCTCTCGTCAGGATTCTCCTTGCACCATGCCAATGGATCAATGGGCTGTAGACCATCGACAAGCTTGCAGTAGTTATGGTTATCAAGCTCATAGTTGTAGTCACTGATCAAAGAGTTAGCAAATGCGTGGGAGTTAATAAGGTTCAGAAAGAGTGACTAACCATTCAAAGTCCTGGCGAGTACAGGTGCAGTTTTCGACATTGTAAAGATGCTTGATCCGATAGCCATTGTAGCAGGTCTTGTCCGTCTTCTTACGAAGATACTTCGTGACGTGACCAAACAAGCAGTCGTTGTCTTGAGACGGGTGTTTAGGAGACCAGATCTTGTAGTCGGACTTATTAGGGTCATCGTCTTGGGCACAGGGCCGATCAGCCAAGCCAGTAAAGTCGAGTGTCTCGGCGAACTGTGTTCCGTCATCAGATCCCCAGATGACAAATTTGCGAGAGGAGCCACTTCGCAAGGTTGTCAAGTCGCGTATCTTGACCTCTTTGGAGGAGAACTCGTAATCATTCCAGGTCTGGCCCTCGTCAGTAGTATAAGAAACGATCTTGGTGCTCTTGTGCAGTTCAGCGAGGACGATGATGGAGCCTTGATCCCCGAACTGCCAGGTCCACCGACCCTTCTTTACATTCTTCCATGTGATGCCAGCGTCAGTTGTCATGAAGGTGTCTCCCTTGTCGATGTCTCCAAGGTACGAGCCCACATTACCGACGCCGAACATCAGGCCGACCGCTCCCTCAGACGAATATGTCCGCTTATAATCCTCCCTATCGGTATAACCGTGGATATGAAGTGCGCACTTCTCAGTGCCCTCCTTGCTACCGCAGCTGTAGGACTTGCCATCAATATCCTTCGCTGGTGGGGGCAGGTAACTCCAGACAGCTCCATCATTGTGTGTTATCATAGTGCGGAGTTTCTTGTCCTCGCCGGCTTTATCGCGGTTAGCGACGATGTTGACCACCGCAACGCCCTCTAGGCCAAGCATCTTCTCAAAGTCGACATAGTACCCTTCGTTGCAGTTGACTCCGGAGATGCTGAGGACATACGATGTGCCGTTAGAGTTGCTCTTGATGATGGTCCCGTATTTGCGATTCTCCTTGAGCTCGGTAGCTACAAAGAGGTTTACAGCGTGGGTGGAACTGTCCAGCACGGTGTATGCATGCTGGTTTGAAACCTCAAAGTTGTATGGGAACTTGGCTTCCGCATACGTCTCGCCATCGATACTCGCAAGTGCCTGAAGTGTCTCCTGTTCCTTGTTCTCTGTGGCAACGACGATAAACTCTGCCATGGTTGCGAAGTCTCTGACATTCTCCTGGTAGACAGTCTTCGTTTCAAACCAGTCGGTGCTACCGATGAGCTGCCATGGGTTGTCTTTCTTCTCTGGATCCTCTCGCTTCCTGGCTGTGCAGATAATCTGCTTTTCGTGGCGGAACTTATAAGCACTCGATCCTGTGAACTCACACTTCCCAACATAGCGCACGATAGTGTGCCAATTGTCGCCACGATCTGTAGAGTAAGAGGCTTCGTTGTAGCAGGCGCCTCCATCATGGCATTTTGTGCCCAACCAGATGAGCCAGTCCTTCTTATCAGGGTGGAAAACCAGAGGAGACATCCCTTCTACGGGTGGGAGAGGCGCCGTGAAATCGTCAAAGGTGTCGCCTCGGTTCATTGTGTAAGTAACCTTGCCTTCTTTAGTAAGAAAGAACACAGCGTCTTTGAAATAATAATGAGGGAGAATAAGCCAGACATTCTTGTCGTGAAGGCCATCAGGATGTTTCCAATCTTCGCCCTGGTTCTTGGTGATCAAGATCTCACCGGCTGCCTCACGGCCTCTGGTTGCTCTTGCAATGATCACCTCATCATCTGTGTTGCTAGTATCACCTTTCTCGAGGTAATGGTACTCAACATTATCCCAGTCGCCCTTAAAGACATGCTGAGATGAAGAAACCTTGCCACTAGCCGGGACTTGCGGCTTAGACTCAGAGTCGGAGCATTTCCTATCCACCGGATCATCCTTCTGAGCACCCTTCTCTCGCTCGCAGGTGTTACCTGGGATAAGACGCCATCCCGAAGAGCCCTTGAAGGTATCCTCGGGCTTGGCGTTTTTGCAGGCTTCTTCGGGAGCTATAATGGGGCCGGCAGGAATGCAGTCCTTGCCATCTCGGCGAAAATTGTAGTCGCATTCGAAGTCCGCGTCTGTGCATTTGCAATTTGTCGTCTCGACGACTGGATCTTCGAATTCGTTTAAGATGAAGCAGTCTGCAGTCTTCTTCCGGCGCTGATATTTCTGGGTGTGCCCCATCAAACATGTTGGATTACCATCGTCATCAACTCTGGCCCACCACTCCTCAAGGTCCTCCTTGCCACATTTCTTCTCATGCAGACCCTCAAAATCAATGGCGATGATGTGAAACTTCGGTCGCAGTTCGTCTCCTGACTGAGCAACAAGGATGAACTTCAGACTCGTTGAATCTTGAGTTGTAGTGAGAATCCAGGGCTTGATCTTGAGGTCATCTGGAAACTGGGCCGTCTTCCAATCTACGCCGTGGTTCAGAGAGTATTTGATCTCGCCAACATTGTCCTTGTCGGAATCATGAATGGCTACCAGGATGGACCCTTGATCACCAAATTCATATTTATGTGGTCCATCGGGCCCCTTGATCCACGTCACACCGGCATCATCAGAGATATAAAGGCTAGCGTCCGAATAGCTCTTCAGATAGTCTCCGGTGTTGCCATTGCCCATGACCAGTCCAGGAGCAGGGCTGGAAAATACACGTCCAGTGTTAAGCAAATCGGTTACTGAGTGAAGATGTACCCTCTCTCGGTCTGCCTTAATTGGCGTGAAGGTCCTTCCATCATCGTGTGTGATTTCTGAGATAATTTTCTTCTTGGCCATCATGTCTTTCTCTACATCATTCCAGTTGTCAACCTTGTTGACGAGGAAGATGCCCTGAATGCCAGCAATCTTCTCAAAGTCGACGTTGCCATGGTGGTTCCGGTTGGTATGCTCGATATTCTTGGTGAAGAAGGTGCCATTCGAGTTGCTTGTAAACATGACACCCATCGGATTGGATGGCCTCGTGGTCATCACATCGATTTGGATGCTGTAGTTCGTGCTCTCAAGCACAGTGTAAGCCTCCTGGTCAATGCGATGGTCGGTAGGGAACATAGCGCGATGCCACTTCTTAGTGTCGTCCGTCACGAACAGCGCCATCTCGTCAGTGTTCAATGAGCTCGTAGCCACAAGCAAATATTTCTTCACAATTGCCAGGTTCACGACACCCTGCACAGGTCTGTTGATGTCCAAGTCCGGTTCGAATTCTTGAATGACACCATCCGACTTGACGGCGCTGAAGTAGTTATCGGATATTAGCAAGCGGTTGTCTTGTTTGAGCGGCGAGAAATCGTCCCTGACGATGCAAAGGATGCGCTGCTTATCCAGATCGTCTTGCCCGGTGGTGAACAGGTACGATGACTTAGCCCACCAGCAGCCGGCCGTGTTGCCACGGAGGAACTTGGCGTCTGACTTGAATCCATCGGTGGTGTACATGGTGACCTCATCGCAGAAGATGCCTTGGCAATCCATGCCATTGAAGAGGATGCGGTCGGGGTCGTCGGCGTGGAAGTTAAGAATGTCTCCACGGAAGATGCTGACTTCGGCGTCAGTGAGGAACGACGTCCAGGTCTTTCCCTTATCCTCTGTCCGGTAATGTTGTATCCCCTCCGTCAGTATATATGCGCGGGAGTGGTCGTATTCGTGCATGACGAGCATGTAGGCCTTGCCGTCGGGGACGTCTGGGACCTTGTCCCACGTTTCGCCGGCGTTCGTGGTGCGGTAGACATTGTAGTCGGACATGTCTTGGAATAGGATGACATCGGAATCTTCGAAGTAGCTAAGGGTCGATGGGTAGTGTTTGAACTCATTGACGTGGAAGGTTGGGCCGTCCTTCGCCGCGCAGACAGCCGCAGTCCATAAGGACGTGAGCAAGGCTGCGGCCTTGAAAGCTCCCCTGGCCCTCATGATTCGGGTCGTTTCGTGGGGCTAATCATCAAGGAGAGCGCCCAATGATGCAGAGTAAGATGAATCAGTGCGTTGCTGGTAGAGAAAGGGCGGAAGAAAGCATGCAGTTGTTGAGAAACGGTTACGTTTCATCAACTTCGAGAAAAGGTGCGAATGCGGTTGCGTAAGTCCAGGTGTCTCAGCGCGCGCCAGAGCTGAGGTGGCTTTGCTGCAGCTGCCTGTAAGGTAGGTAATCCGCCACACGGACCAATCCGTCCTGACCTCACATTATCGCCACACTAAGCTAATAGGGGACCTAGACTGGCTTGACTGGCCGCGGAAGACGGAGCCCAGGCGATCGTTCATCATTGGCCGAACACCGAAAGCTGCACCTGAACCACATGTCACCAGGTCTCGATCAATACTTCACATGCAATTTTTCTGCTGTCGACATACCTACCTAAGGTATCACAGTAAAGCGTTTTCAATAAACATTTCATTATTTACCAATGATTCCAGATGTCACAATGTCGCTACCTCGACTGGTCGGTACTGAAGTGAACTCTAGAATCTCATTGAGCCATCGGGTACGCCTCTTCAACCAACATGTAGTCGAGTACGGGTCGGAACTTCGCCTACAGCCAAAATTCCAAGCGAGTCGACAGACCACACGTCTTAGTATGATTTCTGGTTCAGAACATGGACAGTCCTTTGCGTGCTCCAACCTTTTAAGCTTTTCAGACAGCCATTTCTACAGCATCTGGGCTGGTACATTGTTGATTGACACTTTGAGTCTGTAAAGCTCAAAGCCTCCTCGTGAGGGCGGCAGCTCTAGGTTCGAGTCCTAGGCCCGGGCGATTTACTCTTCTTTTTTTGCTCGAGTTATTCTCTGTATCCAAGATCTTCGATTCTTCACATGCTAGATGAGTATCTAGATCACTCTGGCATAGGGGTGAGTAACGCCAACGCGTCAAGGTCAATGAAGGGCGTGATATTCCATGATCGTATGACAGTTCTAGCAGGATTCCCTGAACTTTGGCCTGCCACTGTAGGCGCTTCTTGGAATCAAGAACTCATGTGCATTTCTGGCCAGCTCTCGCGCCCTCGCACCCCCAAACGTGAATGTAGTTCTTTGGTCGAACAACGCTGCTGAATAACTGCCGAATAGAGTTCAAGTCAATTCAGGTTGTGTTGCCCCGAGTCTTGTCCTTTCCTTTTGTGGCTGCTCGGAGAGTAGAGCAACTGTACCCGAGTTCGCTCTTTGCTCAAGCGAATATCTGGGAAACGCATAGGTCTTGACAATAGTGTCGCTGAAAGCTACTAGATTTTGAAGAAACTAAAGGAACTCGTCCCCCTATCGTCACTTCGAGGCATAGACTATAGAATGTCGAACTACTTTATTAGCAGATGTCCAGCCCAGGAAGACTTTTAGGCCTAAACACGTTGCCAGAACTTGCAAGGGTTTCTGGAGTGCGAGGTACAGGAATTGGCGACCATGGTTGCTTCGATGCTTGAGCCAAAGTTAGACTCAATCTATCACGGTGCACATCATAGACGGCCTTAGACATATCTTCTCAAGTACAGAATTAGACTGGACAGACACGTCATATCATCACACAATCAAGACACCAATAAGGCAGACGACGACGACGGACGATGATAGTCATGGACAAAGGAAATAGATAAGAGAATCTCGGGTTTATCTCTACAGACAAGACTGGCTCAGCGTCTCACATTGAGCTGTTTAAATGTCAAGAAGCTGCACCACCTCCAACGCGACCGCAGTTCGCCCATCGTCCCGCGCCTTGTTCTCAACGAGCAGTGGAAGCGTCAACTGGCCAGGTCCTCCGTTCGATAGATCAAATCTCGAGCTTTCGAAAAACCACCAACCCCAATTCCAGATGCAGAATAGCAATTATGCACATATAATAAGACATTAGAAGGCAACCCAAATCTCTGATCGGAGCCTCCTAAATCACGGAAGTGCCCCATCGATCAAAATATTTCATGGCTTCGAGGGGTGAACAAGAAACGCTACATGCGTCTGCCGCGAGACGCAAACTCCGACATGCCTATGTTGGTGCTGTTCCTCCTACCCTAGTTGGAGAGAACAAAGGAAGCTGTACCTCCCTTTTTGAGGGTAACCTAGAGAAAGACTGGTTAGTATCTAAAAATTAGAAACTTCAACTATCTGGAAATACTCACAGTGCAGCCAGTGCCACCGTTCGAGTATCCTTCACCGACTGTGTAGGCACACGGTCCACCGAGAATGTCGCCGGTGATTGCAACGTTGTAGTCAAGCTTTGCGGAGCTGCTGGGCGAGTTGTCGAAGATAGAAAGATAGGTCACGCCATTCACGTCCTGGCCAGTGCCAGCATTCATAGGGGCATAGTTGCCGGTGTTGTCCGGATAGTTGGGGTTGAGCCAGACGCAGGCGTCCTCAGCGTCAAACCCAAGAGGATTCAGGTACCATTGGGCAGAAGTAGGGGTTCCCTGCCAGTAGTAGGACTCGGTAGCAATAGGGTTGAACATATCTCGGGTTTGACCTGGGGTGGGGCAGAGGGAGATGGACATCTTCTCGTCAGCGGGATAGTTCGTCTGGCAAGCACAGGCGACCTTGCTCAGCTTGTTGACAATCTTGACACCGCCGGCGCCCTTCATACAGAGCTTCGGGCGGTCCTTGTTGGAGAGATAGAGCTTGTTGTCGGAATCACAGTACAGCCCACCGATGGACTGGCCAGTTGCGCCTTGGTCCGCGGGCCACTGAGTCTTGCCGTAGCCATCGGGGCAACGGTAAGACGCAAAAGTGCCTGGAGTAGGATCGCCAGAGGTAGGCTGAACAATATTGTTCATCTTCACACCAAGAGTCCAACCACCGGCCGGCTGCTGGAGACTGAGGTAACCGCCGAGTCCGAGATAGTCAACGGGGACAGCGCCGTACTCGGAGGGGAAGTAGTTGGCACAATCGTGTACACCATCTTGGAACTCCTTGTCGAGACCATCTCCTGTGGAGGTGTCAGAGGAGGAGGAGGATGCGGAAGTCGAAGCAGGAGCGGGCGTTGAAGTCGACGTGGGCGACGGGGTGCTGCTCGACTTGACCTCGAAGAACTGGGCAGCCAGTGTTGAGCTGCTGCTGATGGAGGTCGAGGTGCTGCTGGGAGGAGGGGGAGGAACGAAGGTGGGAGTCGACTCGCCGACAACACGGTAGAGACCGGCTTCGATGCCAGCCTTAGCCTTCTCGGCATCGATGTCCTCGCCTTCGTAGACGTACTCGGTGACGACGGGCGTCTCGTAGACGATAGCCACGGCGGGAGAGCGCTTGTCAAGAGCAACTGGGGAACCGTGCTCGTGCTTCTTTGCGTGGGCATGACGGTGCTGGTGGGCATGCGGCTGGGCCGTTGCGCCAGCGACCAAAGTCGCCGCAATGGCGATCTTGATGATGGCCTTCATTCCGAGATTTCTCTTTCTTGATTTGTTCCTATCGGAGTCGATTCGGTCTAGATTAGATTTCAGATTTTGTTGTATTTGTGCGGTCTGGTTGTAACTGTCTCGCGGGTTCCTAAAGAACGTGGTAGAGAGCGGGAGGGCCCTCAGTTGGATGGAGATATCGCGATGAACCGTCGGTGAGGAGGTTGTAGAAACGAGCGTGGGACACTGCAAAGGGAGGGCCTGCAGTGGTTTTGAGGGAGGGGGTGGGTGAGTTGGACCTGAAGGAGAGTGAGTGATGAGTAAAATGAGCGACTGGGCAGAGCTGGGCAGAGGGCCGGGGGGGTGGCAGGAGAAACAAGGAGAGTGGGTTTGGCTGTTGTGACCTTGACGAAATTACATTTCAGTGAAGGGGGCCAGCTAAACAGGGAGATGAGGAAGCGCGTGCAAACAAGAGGAACAGCCACCCACCCGCAGCAGGAAACAATGCTGGATGGCAGGGATGTCAAGTGCCTAAAGCAGGGCAGGTACTTCCCGGGTACTCGAGGCGAGTCGATCCTGCACAGACCACCCCGTACTTACCTTGAATCGACTGGACGGAGGCTCTTCACCGTCGTCAAGTTATCTATCGTTATCGCGGCCGTTTTTAAGTGAATGGACTACAGTATCTGGAGTGATGGAAGGTGGGAGATACTGCAATCACGAGGGTCGCTCCTGCACTAGTCGTGAAAGTCCTCTGCCTTTGTTCTTGATGTTCGAAATGGCGAGCTGCCTCGTCTGGTACGGGTAACCGTCTGGCCGTCGCGGGACGTTAACCTTAAGTTTAAGTTGCCGAGAGTCGAATCGTTGAAACTTGAAACGCTGCTCTTGCGTATGCTGTAAGTCTAGGGCAGGTGGGAAAGATGAATTGAACGTCAGCTTTGCAGCTCTCAACTAATTATCTAAACCAAATATCTACATGTTCGAGAGCCTCTCTGATTGAGTCTCAAAGAAGCTGACCATCCACCATTTTAAAGCACTTCAGTGATTGGCTAGATGTATGCTCTCTACCTACCAGAGCCAAAGGACAAGAAAAGAAAGAAAAAAGGACGGGGCGGATTGACGGTGAGCCAGGTTTGCCCGTCCTTTGTACTCTTGGTGTACCTCTCCTTTTGTACCCCTGCGCGCTCATCCCCGTTCTCGCGAATCAGAGCAATCTAGGCCAGACCTCCATCCCTGCCTTTCTCGGGCTGTACCTGGCGCTAGACTACTTTTGTCCTTAATTTAGCTGGATCGCCGGGTGCGCGTTTCTTGGTCTGCCAATGTGCACAACTCTCTCCGTCTCTTCTCCTGGTCTTAAGGTGCTGATGGGCGTGCGTATGCACAAACACCCCCCCAAAGGTCCCGTACTGCGTAATGTAATGCGGCACTCGCAGCGTCTTCTAGCAGGGCACGGCAGTGCCACGGCCCACGGGGCTTGCGCTCCGCTCAAGCATCGCTTCTTTTCCTAGAGTACTTCGTGGATAGGAAATGGGGATCAACCATATCGCATCGAGATGGCATCTCCAGGCTGGCTTACGTAGTCCGGCCGGACTACCGATTGCCCTCAGCACGTTGAGCCCACCTGCAATTACCGGCGACCAGAGGCTGCGTGTACTGCAGTAGTCTCTTTCACCAAGTCCCGGCATGAAGCAGCAGAGGACATGGGATGTCGGTATTCGCTCCTGCGGTACCTCGTCAGCAACCAGTCTCCCGGTGTCGCCAATTAAATGCGAGAGATGCCTCTAAAACACCCGGTTGCATGTCAGGTACAGTAGATAGGAACCTCTGAATTCTGTCGCTTGTGTTGCTCCTCCATCAAATACCCGCAATTCTGGCTGAATAGTGACCAGAAGGACAAGCACGGCTGTGTTGCCAATCCCAAGGTGTATACGAGCACTGTGGGTAGCTGCAGGATTCGATGCTGGTTCTATTGCTTCCATTGGACCGTGGTAAAAAATATATCATGAACGACCTATCACATCAAATATCACCATTGCAGTTGAGTCAGATCTCTCTACGTCTTCGAAATGGGTAGCTCCTCTCATCGACCTATTCATCCGACATCTTCAGACGTATCCATGATTTTAATTATCATGCCCCATCAATTGCGTGGACAAGAGGTCTCCAAGTCTAGTGCTCATTTCCGCTGCCACAGATCTAATCATTGGTGTGGGCGAGACCACGCAACAGCAGTTCGTCCCACTCCCAGCGCTCCACGTCAGCCCATTCCTTGCCATACCAACTATGATGAGGGGTTGATGTGCTCCTTCGGTCGTACAAACAAACCCCTGGTCATCTGCTTATCGTCGATTGTTCGGGGTGCGTCTGTCTTTTTCGCTGTTCGGCCTAGGGGTGTGCATCTCGTGCTTCCAGGGATAACAGGCGCCACCAAAAGGCTTGGCAATCTGGGGTTCACAAACTCTAGAGAGCGAACCCAATCCGTGAAGCTGATAGAGCCTCAAGACCGCCATATCACAAACATCGAAAGTCATACTAATGAGCATCGATTGCATCAATTATTTTCTTGCTTCTCTCCTGCAGGTTGTCCCTGGTTTCTCGATGGTCGCTGTAGGTCGCGTCAGAAACGCGAGAGTCCCCGACCTTGTTGCTCACATTGTTGCGCTTGGAGCAAATAGCCCAACCGATATTGCGAACATAACTAGTCTATGTAGACGGTGCAATCGGTTTCTTGATCAAGATATCTCCTTATGGCCCTTAGTCGCCTTTTTGCTATTTTGCTCTCAATCATGCCTTTGAACATGTTACATTGCGTTCAACAGTCCAGCTTGGTAACCTCGACACGACGATGGCCTCACATCAGATATTACACCAGGATCATGTCACTGGGGCATCAGGGTCTGCCTCCGCCTGAAACGATCCAGGTTGATGGTGCATGTACACAAACACGCGACAGAGGTTTGTCTGGAAGGAATGCCAGTGACACGCATGGTGAGACTTTGGCGCACTGGTATGCAACATGTCGGATCGGCGCCCTCCACCAAACCGATAGCTAACCGTCGTGAACTTGGTCCCATCATATTTCAGACTTCACTTCACCCACTTTATAAGGGTCACTTGAGCGTTTTCGGTGACAGGTGATTTGACAGCTTGATGGTTCTAACTTGGAGCTTATTACTGTAGTGAACGCCTATCGTGCTCGTCTAGGTCATCCTATCTCCTCATCCTGAGAAATAGCCAAGTGTCGTATCATTCCGTGAACCATCCCGAGTCGCTTCCAAGGTTTCTCCACATTCTTTCGTGGCATGCAAGGCATGAAATGAATGTGCTATCTTGTATATCGGTGGGACATAAGTCGTCCCCAAGCAATCTAGAGGCTCACGAATCGTTGCAGAGAGGCCCAATGCGCTCACGCCCCCAGGAGGACAGGTTCTTCTGACAGCCATGTCTCGGCCTCAAACATGTCGACCATATCTGTCACTGGGTTCCCGCGGATGGCTTCGGGAGGATCGAACGTGGCTGCCGAGAATCTGTAATGGGGAGCATGCATGTACGAGATCATGCGTCTGCTTCAGACACAGCCATGCCAAGCCCTTCTCGCACATTTCTCTCAACCGATGATCAAGCCGGCACAGGAACACGAATGGCTGGATCCAAAGACCTCTTGGCATTCAAATTCTTCAATTCTAGACTGCTGGTCTCGTGCTCATGGGTCATATCATGTCCTCTGCGTTCGATCTCAATCCAATTAGTCGGGTCGCTGCGTCTATCTTCCAAAATATATACACATAAAACCGTAATAATCTACACCGAAGCTAGAAATGGACTGACGCTTATGCTTGCCTTACATTCCTAGGGTTGTCAGGAAGCTCAGTTAAGCACTAATGGTAGGTCGTAAGGGATGTATTATCGTATTATAAATTTCTGCCTCGCCGGCTCCGAATCTTTTCTACCAGCTTGCTACAAACACGAATGCTTGCAATCGAGTCAATTTAATTGGCAATTCTCATTCTATTTTTTGTACTGAAAAGGCAGTTGTGTGAGCAATGATGGTGCTTGAGTCCCGGTCTATGATGCACCTAGGTCAGATGTACAACGCCCACTGACAAAGAGCTCTAATTTTGCCAGTGCCTGTCGGCGGAAGTAGAATTATCTTCTTGGTGTGTAGCTTTTCTGCGTGTTAGCAATTTCGCTCAGTTCCCTGCCATGGATAAGGATATCGACAAATGGATTCCTTCGGAAGACAACTTTCGTTCGTTGACCTTGTGGAAGGACTCGTACGGTTCTCTAGCTAAGGTTTGGCCAAAACCCTAAAGCTAAGCTTTTAGAGCGATCATCATCTCTTGCCTCGACGGCAAATGCTGTCAGATGCCGTAAATGCTCTGCACAGGCCTCAAGGTGTATAAAAATCCCGTCCGTTGTCCTAATATCCCTATCGTTAGGGAATATCACCCTTCTGGTGCTCTTTGGTGGACGGAGCGTGTACAGTGTCCCTTGTGCAGCTTCTACCTAATAAAGAAGGCAGACAACTTTGCCATCGCCCAGCCAGGAGACCACCTCAAGAAATGAGTGGTTTTCCAGGAAGAAATCAAAGTAGATGAAGATTGTTAGACTTGAAATGAGTGAAGAAAAAAAGACAAAAAAATTAATCGATAAGGAGAGGATTCGAACCTCTGCGGACGAATCCAATACATTACGTAACGAAAGTTCGAGTGTATCGCCTTAACCACTCGGCCACCTTACCCAGTCTTGTGGGGAAATTCACACTATTCTCATTCACTACTGCTGTTAGACAGTGGATTACTCAGCACATGGAATGACACTTGACAACCCAAGGCCATTATACACAATTTCAGTACCCATTGACGACAACATAGCTGCAAAAGCTATTCAATCATCTTTAAAGTACTTAGATGACCATTTGTCTTAGCACTTAGAAATATTGCTGGTCTGGAGTGATTATTCCCTTCTTCCTTAGGTATTATCATGAGGCGGACAGATTATCACGGGTGTTCAGTGGGCTGAAGTATCCTTACGAGACATTT